TAAACACACCTGGATTCCGAACATGAGTGTCCTATTACGTTAATGAAAGAAGTCGCAATAGGTTGTTTAAAACTCCTTCAAAGTGATTTTATGGAGTTCAAACAACACAGTCGGTATCCGTCCGATCGGTGCCAACCATAAGATCGACACTTAGTAAACTCGAACGCCAGCCAGCACGTGCTGACAAGTTCAACCACTGCACAGCCATTGATTTTCAATCCAATTTGAAAACTAATGGATTTAATTCAATGAAGGAATAACAATACACAAACCCTCTCGTAAGTCATCTAGCATCAGACCGAAAAAAGAATAAATCCAGCATAATGGTCACTTTGATCGTACTGAAAACCGTTCGATCAATCGATGATTGGCAAACAGTTGTATCGGCCACATAAAAACCTAAACCCGATCAAGCGCAAAATCAATCAAACGGAAATAAATACTTGAAACAATTGTAAGAAGCATGTTCGGTTCTTTGTGACGTGAACTCGAATACCGAATGCTCGCATATCAGATGGGTCACTGATCAACACTTGGAGACACTGAATGACATGTGCGATCCAGGAATAATCCACTATTCAGTAAATCTCATGCACCGCATTTCTTCGTTCCTACATTGCTGTTCACAGTTGGCGGAGGATCTGGCACAGACGAATGTGGTACTACTGATTTGAAAATATCCGATCTAGCCGGTGGTTGGAAAGTACCGCAAAAGGCGTTCACCAAAAAGCTCACATGTACCTATACGCTCACTGGAGATGCTGGAAAGACATATGAATTCGCATTTATCGACTTCAAAGTAAGTACGCATATTTTTCCATATGAATGGAGCATGGTAAAATAAATCTGTCAAAAATATAGAAATGTAAACATTCACAGATGATAATCCTCTCAGTGAATAGACCTCGATGCTGTGGTTGTGCGTCAGTAGGGGGCACATGAGATTTAGAACCCATATTCGACAATTATTTTGTTATTAGACACAGACAGAAATCATCCACAGATCCACGTTTTCGGCAAACGATTGTTTCAGCCGACACTCCATCTGTCTGTTCAGTGGAGAGTGGCGTACTTATTGATCGATGCATGCCGCAATGCATAACATTCGGTGATCACTCTATTCTGTTCGTGATTGTCACCAGGTTGGGACCGAGGCAAATCCTTGTGGGCAGGATTATGTGGAAGTGAGCAATAAAGCTGACTTCAGCGAGAACCCGGGTTACAAGAAGTGCGGTCAATCGCCTCCGGCGGATAAGTTCTCGTCCACATCAAATGTGTTCTATGTGAAATTGGTCGTCGGCTCGAATGACTTTGCGAAAACCAGGTTCGCTGCGGAAATTAAAAGTGAGTGCTGTTTTTTCATCGTACATCTACCTGATTTTCTTCCGCTTCATTAAGTTAGTCCTCCAGAGGTTTTACGATTTTGGTCCAGCAACTACCGTTTTCTGCACCGCTTCCGCTCCTTCATTGATTCTACTACTTCGTGTTATGATTTTAGTCGGAGTAGTGGTCTCTCAAACTTATCAGTTTACTCTTTCCTACTAAGTTTCCTAATGAACTTCACCCTTAGACTTGTGGCTATGTGAATCTTGTCGGCGTTGATTGATGTCCTCATAAGCCCAACAACATTCGTTCTGCTTTCAGTCGTCGCTGGTATAACATTGGAAACATGTTGTAATTTCGGTTTTGGACATTCCTGGTTTGTTTATCTATCAATATGTGTATTTGACGTATACTGCTGCAAAATAGCATCACACATGGTGAAAACCACCACGCCCGGTACTGCACATTTTCCTACAGCTATTGACAGTTTCGTCTCATTTGTGGTTCGCGTATTCAGCTGTCCACATTTTCACTACCAACGCTGTTGTTTTTGTGACGAACAAGTAATGTTTACCAAAAGCGGTTTATAACAAAACCTCCCCAGGCTCAATTGTTTTCACACATTTCTCTCCACTGCTGGTCGTGTCCTTTGAGATTTCATATGAAACCTCCTCTTGACTTCCCTCAATTTTCATCACGTCTTCCATCTCTCCACAACTCCTCATCATTTTAGACTCCGTTAATCGGTGTGGCGTTTCCGCAAGCATCGTTTTTCTATCGATCCTGATATCTCTGTTTTGTAAGTGATCATCCAATGCCATATAATCATCGTCGTGATCCACCTGTGCACCTGTGATATTCTGAATATTACAATCTCGTTGAGATGTGAGACGCCTGCACCATCACATATATTCACCTGCCGATCAACGTTTTTCTTACAGATGACAAATAAATGCAGTCCTGC